CTTTGATAAAATGAATTTTTGTAAGGTGCTAGGGATAGTAGATGATAAAATTATGAACTGATTCTTTGGAAGATCTAAATTAACATCTTTAGAGTAACTGATACAGAATTCAACTGACTGAACTAAACTAATGGTTGGTACATAAATACTCATAAAAATATTATCAAGACAGTAGTATTACTATGCGTAGTAATGATAACATAATAATAACAAGACCGGATAACGGCTCAGGAGTGGTTATCATGAACAAAGCGGATTACTTTGAGAAGATGAATACTATTCTTAATGATAATCTAAAATTCCAAAAAATCTCCTCTTCTCTGGATCCGATTGAAAAGATAGAGAAACAGTTAGCGGAAACATTGAGAAGACTGAAACAACAAGGCTTTATCTCACAGAGTCAGTATACATCACTTAAACCCACTGGAACGTTCACACCAAGATTATATGGCTCGCCTAAAGTGCACAAAAATGGTGTACCGCTTCGACCAGTATTAGATATGTTAAATTCACCATACCATCCCGTAGCCAAATGGTTAGTCGAACTCTTACAGCCTCTTCATACCGAGTTGGTGAAACACAGTGTAAAGGATACTTTTGGATTTGTTGAAAGGATAAAAGATTTAAATGTTGACAATAAATTCATGATATCATTTGACGTATCTTCCTTATTCACCAATGTACCACTTATGGAAACAGTGGACTTTGTATGCGAAGAACTCATAAGACGAAACATCGATATTGGCATTCCTATATCTTTTATGAAAGAGCTTCTCTTGAAATGCACAATGAATGTCCACTTTTTATTTAATAAGGAACTATACAGACAAATCGACGGTGTGGCAATGGGGTCACCACTAGGACCCATTCTAGCCGACATTTTCCTTGCGAAACTAGAAAATGGGCCTTTGAAAGATGTAATTGATGAACTTGAATTCTATTGTCGGTACATGGATGATACATTTTTGATTATGAAAAATGAAGAGGAAGCAAAGAACATCCTGGATAAATTTAACGAGGTTCATCCTGCAATAAATTTTACTATTGAGAAAGAAAAAGACTCTAGTATTTCATTTCTAGACGTCCTTATGACCAGAAAAGAGGATGGCACAATAAGAAGAAGTGTATATAGAAAACCTACATCAACGGGTCAGTATACTCATTTTCTCAGCTTCGTGCCCTTGAAATACAAACGCAATCTGATAAAGTGCTTGGTTCACAGAGCAAGAGCAATCTGCTCGGATGAATGTCTTGATGAGGAACTTAATAATATTAAACGGTTGCTGAGTGAAAATGGTTATCCAGAAAAGTTTATTGATAAGAATATGAATCTAAAATCAAAGCAGCCCAAGGTACCAACAGTTCCTAAAAAGGCCTTATTCTTACAAATGCAGTTCCTTGGGGACAACATCAGTGAGATACTAACACAGCGCCTTAGAAATGCGGTAAAAAGAGCATTCCCTGCTGCCGAATTACGCTGTGTCTTCAAAACCACTCCTCTTTTGCGTTCGGGAGTAAAAGATAAACTGCCTAATTTCGCCTCTTCCATGTGTATCTACCAATTTAACTGCTCCTGTGGAGAGCCAGTTACATAGGCCGTACAATTAGGCGTGTTTCTCGTCGAATTTCCGAACATCACCCTGCGTGGTTAAGTAAAGGACAAACAAAATCTATTCGCAGCGCTATTCTATCTCATCTTGTGGATACAGAACACAAGATTGACGTTAACCATGCTTTCAGGGTCATTTACCGCATACCAACGAATCTCAATTTTGCCTTAAGAGTTCGACTACTAAATATTGCTGAGGCTGTTGGGATCCATATTAACAAGCCTAATTTGTGCATCCAAAAGAAGTTAGTTCAGACATTATCCTTACCTTGGCCATCTAGGTTTGAATGATCCTCAATTTTTGTGGAATTTTCCTAATTTTAGTTGATATTCTATTTGCTACTATATCTTTATTATTATTATAATTTAAGCATCTTTAATGAACTGTAATTCCATTGATCTTACTTTACAAATCGATATTATTTAAAAAACACTAATATTGTTATTGACTACTATTCTAGAATATTCTATGTATATAAACATATATATAATTGTAGAGCCAGAAGAGGAATTTATCGAAAAGGATATTCTTTGCTCAATTATTTTGTGTTTTATGCGTAGTTTATCGTTCGAGTGCAAATCAATCAGCAACAAAGAGAATAAACTGTAATGCTTAAAATCCTGCATGAGTTGTAGGTGTTTATTTCCGCCTTCTCTTTTATTGAAGAACTCTTCAGCGAGTTATTATGCGAAGTAGCCTATTGCTCGATTAATAATTCACATTCGGTGTGATAAATGACAACTATACGATCCACACAATTATAAGGTTATTCCTGAAGATGTCTTTGATTTATGACCCAAAACTATTAAATAATATTGATACTCAGAGTGTGTGATTTCTAAAAGTCAATGCTTATATTAAAATTTTAAAAGACTGATTAGTGAACAAGGAATATTCTTTGCGATAATGTCTTCATCAGGTTCTGTAGTTAGTTATATTGTCCGTAATAATTAATGAATGATTGTTATTAACAACATTTATGCTTGTTATATAACATTGAATCAATAATATAAACACACTGGAGTACAAAAGCATCCGTGTACTTGATATTTTGCTTCAATATAACACTAAACTGAATTTCAGATGAATTAAGAGAATTAATATAGAATTTATGAATTTGTAGGTTCGATAGTTGACCATGGTAGCGATATTAACTGGACGTTTTACTTTCGCACTATGAGTTCCAGTTGTTTTTAAGCGAATTCCAATGACCTCTGCTGTTTGGAATATTCGGTACTTAGAGGCTTTTGGAAATTTATTCCCTACAGATGCTGTCGGACTGTAATCTACTTATCTGAGTGATTCGATGTTATTTAAAACACATTAATATTGTTAATAACGATAATTCTTTAATTATTATGGATGCATATAACTGTAGAATCTGATGAAGAGGAAATAATCGAAAAGAATATTCATTGTTTCAATAATCCATCGTTTAACATTTTTAATGGGTATCTTTAATCAATATTATAGTTGTTTCAAACAAAATAAAGTGTTCAGACAACATGCGATAATTACATGAGTGTTGAATATTATATTTAACCTATGGAATATATTTTCTTTATTTTTAGTTTGATTTCATTCTTTTTCATGCAGTGGAAACCCTTGTGTTATTTGGTAGGAGGGAAGGTAAATGAATTTTAAAAAGACTTCTTGGATAAAAAAGAGAACAATACGGAAAGTTTATTTTGTTTTATCAGCCACATTGTAAACTACCTCAACCAGATATCTGAATACTAATCAGACTTCAGTTTGACACCGAATCATGAATGGCAAACTTAGACATCAAGCTAAAATGATAACTGTTCGAGTTTTCTGCAGTCATTTTCTTCTTCATTTTCTATGAACACCTAAAGAATATAATTGTTGAAGAGATTGAAATCGATGATTAGTAAACACTTAATCTAGCGATGATATGGAACACCCCAAATACAACCACCCCCTCCAGTTTGAATGAGTACCACATGGACACAAGTAACAACGAACCATTCCTGATGTCGTAAGCCATATTCACCACCACAAAATTATGAAAATGCAATTTTGTGTGTTAAACTTTGAAGCCTAAAGACTAGGTGTGACCATGAAGCAACATTTACTGTCACCAACTAGCAAGAACTCTGAAGCCTTCCAGAGAAATACTTCGTAACATACTTTTTCAATTCGTAACTTAATGTCAAATATCTAATCGATATATTGTTTGTGTCATTACGTGAACATAGCAACGCTGCAGTAAGCGCCGTTGTTAAGGTGAGTTATAAATTCAAACACCTAATCCAAAAGTAACGTTCTCAAAAACTCTACACAACTTCATCCGCTAAGCGCAGCTAACTTGTACAGCCTCATTAATGATACCTATTTATTTAATAACAGTTGGGCTTTCAATCAAATGAATTTGATCAGTAAGTTTTATTCATTACTCAGTGGTGTCATTAGATGACACAGTATTATATATATATATATATATATATATCAATTTAAGATCGAGGAATTTATGTCATTTGGCCTTTAATTCTCACATTCAATTTAGTAGCGAGCGATCACATAAATAAGTGAAGAGTTATATGAAACAACAGACTGTAGACTCTTATCAACAGCTATATTCGCTCCATACTGAAGATCCATTGGCCAGACAATATTAGCAATAAAAAACCCTCGGAAAGAACCATTCAAGAACCCATCGTTCAAAAAATATGTAGGAGAAAATGGAGATGGATTAGACACGCTCAGGAGACCGTCGAATGATATCATTTGTCAGGCCCCCGAGTGGGAGCCGAACGTAACATGTGGGGGATCGTGTAAGGAGGAGATAAGAGACTATGGGCGATAGTGAAACCAGCTAAAGAGAACCCCACAGAACAGAACAAAATGAAGATGAGCTGTTGAAGCCCTATGTTCCACTTGGAACCCATGTCTGGTTGTAGTATGAGTAAGTAAATCCAAATACTATTAACACATTCAAGAGAATTGGAAGAAAACCGCTGCTTGTTTATCCACTGTGAATAATCAATAAACGGTCGAGTTTCAGATGATTCTGTAAGATTTCGAGAAAACAGTATCTTAATGAGTTTTCAGTGATTTTTTTTATAAACTATGCATGAAACAGATACCTCTTAATCCTAACACATCATTGTGGTGTGAACAAGGAAATCTTCCCTTTAATTGTATTTTTTGAATCACAAAGCCTCACAGAAGAAAAATGCCTTAAATACAAGCAAAGCACTTCTAACTGAGTCATATAACTAATAGTTAAACAGGATGTATTTTGACATTACTTTGCACAAACATTAATTTTAAAAAAAGAATTGAAAACAGGTATTCATTTATCAATATTTAAATAGTACATTATCATAAAAATAAAATGTTTAATAATTTATGAGTAGAATTACTTACCGAGGAGATAAATAAATTCAGAGTGTCGTCAGTATTCTGTTGTGTGATCTGTTGACAAATGTCACCGTAATGACTATGAAGCATTGCTAACTGAAAACTGCGTGGGTTGCACAAATTATCAAAGTAGGCAGATGATTGGTTAAAAGCAGCTTATCGATTAAGTAGTTGGTAGAGGTAAGGTAAGCTAGTCAAATTATGATGCGATAAAGCACATTCTGTGAAAAAAGCAACTAGTCACAGCTATATGCCAATCAATTTTACTGTTACTATTATCTACTGATTTATTTTGATGTGAATATGTACAAAAATTTTGAAAAGAAAGTGCCCCTTTAGATGTGAAATTTAATTTAAACACCTAGAAGGTAAACTAGAAAAGGTATTTTCTTTTCTTTTTTTTGAGAATGAAATAAATAATTTTTTATTAATAAACACAAACTCTAACTAAAATTCTAAAAAAAATATCAGCTGTCAGGTATTCTCTATGTGAATATATTTATGATTAATACTTCAACTGACACTGATATTTTCAGTAGATATAGGAAAATGTGAAGTCTGTCCCCAGATGAATGATTTGGATACGTTAGCGAACTTCGAAACTAAAGACGATCGGATTTATTTCCTTCTAGAAGTGACAAATACCCTACTTTCATAGATTCTCAATATTGATTTTTATTTAGGGGAATGTTCGGCGTCAAGCTATCGACCTACTAGTATCACTGGGCTATCTGAATTTCCATTTACAACACAATGCATCATATTTTGTCTAAATCTGATTGTTTTAACTGTTCAATTATGTTTCTGAGTCGGAAACTATACTCAAGCAACTTTTTTTGATTGGTTTTTGAACTACCAGTGTGCACTTCTCTGAGATGAGGGGAAAGTGTCATGAGGGATAGGCGTATGCTTCAAAGTGAACAGCATTGCGTCATATGGTATACTAAAGATTGAAGATCCTGAATGCAGAGAAAATATTCTGCGAAAAATTACTCTGAGAATTCTGAATATATTGTGTAAACATTTTATCCAGAATGAAGCCGTTATCATTATTATCATTATCACTACGCAGATTTCTATTCGAACATCACAAATAAAGAAATGGGAACGCTTCCATGATTCTTACATTCATTAAAATGATTTTATAGACTGTTCTTTTTTATAACAAAAAAGATTGAACAAAGAATACTCTTTTTGGGAATCTTCCACATCCGACGCTACAGGTTTACATGTACATAAGATTTAAAAAGGAATTGTTATTGACAGCATCGCTGTAATATCTAGTTAATGATATCAGTGGGTCAATATGCATAAAATTACAGTACTAAATTAAAAGTCTGATAAATTTAAGAAAATTTGTACAACAATCGGAGATAGTTAAAACAATGATAACTAAGGCAGAGAAAGTGGGTGAACACACTTAGAGTTAGGCTTCTTCATATGGATCCGAAGGGCTTCAGCTATCTGTAAAAGACGAATTCGTGAGTTCACTGACTAGAACACATCCCATTTATTGTCTTTTCAGTAGGCGTACAAAAATACACTGTAGCTGCGAGACGACTTGGTATATCAACAGTAGTGTTTCTCGTATTGTATTAAGTGAAATAACTGAATATTCAATTAAATCCTTATACTTTCGGTTGGAACTAAGTTCATTCTACATTTTCGTATTCAGAAGGAGATAAACTGCGAGTACTCTATGAGGTGCATGACGCCACATACTACTGATTGATTTATCTGAGTAGTTGGATACCATTCTTGTGAGTTGAAGTTTTTCTAGCAGTCTGATAGCTTTTGTGGTGTAGGGTCGCTAGCTCCACGCCAAACCCTCCCTCTTTACCCGGACTTGAGACAGGCTAGAAAACTAGCAAGCTAGTAAACTAGGCGAGGATACCATTCACACCAATCAGTAGTGCTTATTGGCCAGATTTAAACACCGAACAGTCATTTCATTCTGTACTCTTTTCGACTTAGGTCAGAGAGCTAAATCATTTCAAACTACCTTAATTAAGGCTAAGAAACAGTGACAGAATTTCACCTCAAGTTGTGTTGACTGAAAGTCGCGAATTAATGCGCAGATTGAGAATTTGGTAGAATGTGTAAGACAGTTTTGAAAAATATGGCAGGATTCAAGTTACCATTTAAGAGACATTTCGCTAAACTGATGACGTGTCACTTAGATAAGAATTTAAAGTGAACTATATACGTGGTTAAGAATTTGCTTCTGATTACAACCACAGGAGTAGTTCAGATAACAGGAAAATATAAATTATATGGAAATGTGTTAGTGGAGGTAAACACATTGGGTATGTGAAAAAAAAATGCTTTTCGACTGTTATTGTTTATCAGTGCTTTAAAAATTCGTGACAACATCCCCAGAATCTTTTTTGTTTCTTTCACGTTCCCCAGTGGGACATAGGGCTCCAAGCTAGTGGTTTAAAGTTTCTGTAGCAGTGCTTATTTTACAGGATGGGGTTGCTAGCCTCATGCCCAACCTTTCCTCTTCACCAGCATTATTTCTGGCTTAGCGAGGTAAACGAGTGACTCGGCCGGAGATCGAACCTTGGACCATGTGGATGGTCGGCGAGCGTCCTAACCGCTATGCCATCGACACATCCCAGAATCTTGGTCACATGTTATTTGATGGACTCTGATCACGCTATTGATATTAATACAAGGTTTATAGCCATCAATAAGCAGAAGAATAAGAAAATTACATTGGTCTACTTAAAGAGGAGAGCTATGTACAGAAAGAAACAGCAGTCAATTTAAACCTCTTCTAATGATATACTCTTTAACATCATGTAATTCTTCTCTGGTACTTGCCCTTATTAGTCATGATTCTGTTATTATGACATTATTATCCTCTTTGGTTTCGGTTGGAACGTAGGGCTTTGACAGCACATCTGCATTTCATTCTGTTTTTATGCAGTCCCTTTTAGATGGCTCCACAATCACCCATAAGCTTTCGTCTCCTCCCCACATGATCTCCTCCATGTCACCTTCGGACCCATGCCCAGCTTGTCATTACTTATTAGGATTCCACTCTATGGCCTGGCGCGTGATGTCGCTAAACAGTTTCTTCTCAGCATTTGTCCAGTCCATCTATATTTCCCACGGTATATTTGTCGAGTGATAGGTTCTTGGTCGATTAATTGCTAATCCTTTCTGGCAGGCCAACTGATCTTCAGTATGGAGAGGAGATAGCTGTTGATGGAAATCTCTGAGTAGACATACTAATCATCTATCGCAAACGCATATATTACTCAAGTAAATAAAAGAGAAAGTTAATATATGTGTAAAACTTGGGCACTGTGGTAGTAAGTAAGAGAAACTCCCCCCACCACACACAACATTGAGATATGACTGGTTATGTATTGGTTGTATGAGAGAATATCCTTTCGCCTAGAGATATAAACACCAGTATGACATCTGATATCTATGATAGGTAGAGTTGTTAGGCTTGTCGTAAAAATTATTCATAAAGTTTCTTTTCATGTCAGTATCTTCTAAATTCTAGTCTTTTATGATTCTCATTTCTTTTCTATCATGCCATCTCTCTTCCATTTATTGATGTGTACTTTTGAAAGTGGTGTGTTTCATCTTCATAAGTACCTTTGCAATTTATCACTCAATTCTTATTGATTTTGCACACCTGTTGAACTTAATCGTTATTTATTGTCACTGTGTTTGTGCTGTTTGTTTGTATGTATGTGTATGTATGTATGCATGCATGCATGTTAGCTGATAAGTATCTGCGGCTAACATTAAAAGTCCCGGAAACATACATTCTTCTACGGAATGTTATACAATTATAATTCCCTTCATATGAATTACGCATTTAAGAGTTCATGTTAACCTCTGATATAAATAGTCTTTCTTCTTTGACATTTATACATTAGTATCCAGATGTTGATTTTAATAGGGATTCGGTTGATTTCAAATTAGATCTTGTCGTGAATCAACTTCATTCGGAGAATCAGTGAAAACCAGAGAGTACTGTACAATTGTCACTTCTGATTCAGGATTCTTCATCATTACCCTGGATGGTTAAAGAGTTTGATTCGTAATGTGAAGGTTATGGTTTCGATTCTTAGTGGGGTTGTGGATGTGTACTGTTAATGAGCTTCAAACTAGGACAAAAAGGTTGTCCAGTCTTATCTGGCTTTTAATTGCTCTTAGAACGATGTTGTTTTGATATCAGCATAAAACTTGGGCACTGTGGTAGAGTATAACTTCATTATGGATAAAATTTATTGATAATACACAGTTAGTATATTACGATGATTAACATCTGCTGCTAAAGTATACAAACAAACAGACGGCGTAGCAATGGGATTACCAATATCCCCTATCGTAGCAGATATCTTTATGGACAGCTGCGAAAATATTGCTTTTAATACATTTAATCCTTTCGGATTTTTAATAAAGCAGGAATCAGGGAGGCATTCAAACCTAAAAACTCACTCAGGTAGGACAAACTCTGTAGTCTAAAGGACCTGGTGGACCCAATTAAACAAAATAATATAATTTACAAAGTATCTTGCAATGAATGTGAGTGAGGTCAACTACATAGGTCAAACTAGTAGGTCGGGGTAGTCAGATTGTCGGAACATAAGAATTTAGCTAAGGTAAGAATGTTTGACCCCACGAAGATAAGTAATTTGAAAAGAAGCTCAGCAATCGCACTGTTTGCATTAACACACAACTACACAATAGGGTGGGACAGAGTCAAAATTCTAAAGAGTAATATAGGTAGATGGAGAAAGAGAGATGGATTACTGAATCCTGCCTGGTTCATCTAGTCTACACCTAACACATGCAATAGAAGTGACTCAAACCAAATACCAGAAATATGGAAGAAATTATTATCAGTCAAATCAGAGGAGGATAATAAATAATCTGAAAATTCTATTTCAATTCAAGCACATCACAACATTCTAACAAGTTACTTATTATGACCATAAAAACACTCTTCTTATTTCCCATCCTATTGTATTTTATTGATAACACTAATATTATTTCCGAATGTACTTTATCTTATATTCATTTTATTTAAATGTTTAGTCAATTTTTACTC